AGAAGCGTTTAGTTTACGATGTACTTTCTCAAAACGTTCAGACTAAAAAAAAATAATTTAAAAAAAAACATAAACATCATTCGCTACTTGGGTGGAGAGAAATGTTTCGCTACAATGCTTTTTATTTGCATTTTAAAAAGTCATATAGGTTTAGAACTTATGCCGCTTCTTTGCTTGTCTATATCCTTCAGAAACAGCTTCGAATGAAGAGGGCTAAATATTTGTTTGCTGAAGGGCCCGATTTATACGACAACTTGCATCTGCCACGTTCATTAAACGTATTGAGATCGAGTTATAACTATATTTAGATTAGGGTCTATATGACACTCATTCCCCTTCCCCCCTCGTTTCTTTAAGTTAATTATGTCCCATTCTAAACCTAATTTATAAGCCTATGACTTTTTTTTTCTGCCTGTTTTTATAGTTAGTTGATTATGTGTGATCCCACGAGCACATTCTGGTGGGCCTAAAGATTTATTCATGTCAGACGGAAACTGAAGGTATGTTGATACACTTAAAACAAAATATTGGTCAAGGAAAAATTGGAGATAAATTCGGTTAAATTATATTTTTTAATTAATTATTATTTACTTAATTACAACCTAAATTGGTTTTAAGGCAAAATTGTAAGGCCTTAGACATTACACGTTTTCATTAAAACGTGTTTGTGAATTAATTAAAGAAATAATAAGTAATTATAAAAAATGTAATTTTTAATAGGGCCTAGAGAAAGTTATAAAAAATTATGAAAACTCAAGAGCAGTAGACCTATAGTATAGATTTCTATTTAATTTTGCAATCAGCTGAGACCTAGGATGCGCTTACTACTTTTAGACGCATGCGCGCTCGCCTAAAAACTCAGACCAAGTCCTATGTTTTCGCTCAGCGAGAGAAAACAAAAACTTAACCCAGAACATAAAAAGCGGTGTGGTTTGTGCCCTGCGACCAGTGTTTCTTCCAGACTTTTTTCTCCGGGGGGGCACTTGAAATCTTCGGGGGGGCGGTAAACTTTCTTCGGGGGGGGGGGGCGGACACTGTTAAAAGTATATATTTTCTATATAAATTATATAAATTTCATTTCGTTAGGGGGGGGGGGCGGTAAAAAATTTTCGGGGGGGGGGGGGGCTTCGCCCCCCCCCGAAGAGATGCCTGGAAGAAACTCTGCCTGCGACTCAGAAGATGATCCGTATACCAGTAACATGTATAGTATACACATAGGCTAAGTAGACCATGTCGTAAGTGAAAACGCGGTGTTAGTTTTTACCTAACCATGTTGGGGAGAAATTATTTTATTGACATCAATAATACCCTAGAACTAATTAATACATTTATGTATTTATAAATTTATAAAGATAGTTGTTTATTACTTTATTTTATATTTTAATTTAGATATTCAATGTATGCGTTTGATATATTTATCATAATCTACTACATTGGTACAGACAAAACATCAGTAAACTGAAATAGGCCTACTTAAAATAACAATGAAAACCTCCCATGTAACCTTTGATCTTTAACCCCAATCAAAATTTAGAAACACCCACTTGTTTACGTTACTGATAATATTAATAGAAGTATGGTTAATCTAAACCTTAGAAAATCTATATGATTTATATCTTAATCTAGCAATTTGTTGATGGGTAATCTATTGCTTTAGGTACGTAAAATCGGCCGATGCTAGGCTAGTTAGTAATGTGAAAATGTTCAAAAGTATGAGTGTAGTGCTAGTACTACTAGATCTAGTTAGTTACACTTAACACTAGAGTAGTGGTGGTAATCTTTCGTTTTAGTTTTAGGTACGTAACATCGCCCGCGACTAGTAATGTGAAAAACAGGTGACTCCTTAAATTTTAATAATTACGTTTTGAAAATTACAAAAATGTTTCCCTTTTTCATTTATGTACCTGTTTTTAAACAATTGAATTAAAACTTTTCAGTAATAAAAGAAAACTAGCGATGTTTCCAACAGATACATAGCAACATTGCTCATTTACTATAGCAGCCATCTTGTTGAAGTTTTTTTTATAAAAAAAAGAGGGGAAGCCACTCTAACTTACAGATGGCCGCTTTTTATATAGCAAATCCTACTCGCAAACACTTGCTTATATTGATATATTTTTTATTATTTAGCCATTGATTTAGGTTTATTATTCATTTATCTATAATATTTGACACAAATATATCACAATATATTTCTATTAAAGCCTTGACAATGAGGTAACTTTTTCGTACATTACTAGCAGCGGGCGATTTTACGTACCTAAAACGTATATAGCTAATATTGCTCTCAAGCAATAACTGTTTAAAGTTGATTTCTGGCCTGTATTGATATATTAAGCCATTGATTTTTCTTTATTATTCAATTATCTATAATATTTGGAACAAATATATCACAATATACTTCTATTAAAGCCTTAATAAATAACAATGGGGCAACTTTTTCGGACATAACTAGCCTCAGACGATTTTTACGTACCTAAAACAATAGATTACCTGTTGATTTTTACAGCACAATACTAGATCTATCTACACAGAATAATAATACATGAATAATAGACGTAAATCTTGCCTTAAAAAATTAAAATGCCGTTGACACCAAAGACAGTGTTGGTAACTGGTACATCTCGTGGAATCGGACTAGAATTTGTTAAACAGTTCTTGAACCTACCAACACCTCCAGAAAAATTGGTCGCTGCATGCAGAAATCCTTCAACAGCTACAGAACTCCAGAAATTAGCTGCAGGGAATGCAACGGTGAAAGTAATTAAATTGGACGTTGAAAATGATGAGGATATAGATGCAGCATTTAAAGTAAGAGTGTAGGCATAATATTATACTAATAATAAAATAATAATTAATATGGCAGGAAACAGATTAGTACCGCAAAATGCATATTCGATCTTCGCCGTTCATAAACTTTCTAACCAGACATCGGTCGGGGATTTTGTTAATACTAATAAATAGAGCTATGTTTTTACAAGCTTCGTTAGCAACATTTTTGTGGAATACGTTTTTTATGACATTTTGTGCCGCGGCGAAGGATGCGAAGTATGCAAATCTAGACGGAACGGATCTACTTGGAAAAGTACGTGTACTGCACTAATAAGGTAAGAAATAATATTTTGTAAAAATAACTATTATTTTTATGGATTTTTCATTAGAAATGATTGCTGTAAATTATGAAAGTAAAAAAAAGTATATTTGAATGTGTTTTTTACTTTAATTTGAACAAAGTGAATGGCCATAATTACGACACATCGGCGTCGTTGAAAGCGGGGATTTCAGTTAATTTTTTACGGATATAAAATTGTATTTTTTTCCTCCGAGGCATGTATTTAAATAACAGTTTAGTTAAATGTATTTAATTCTGTAAAATATAAGTATTATTTTGCCGTAGATACTTTAAAAAAAAATGTTTATGATTTTCTGTCGGGGAAAATCGATATTCGCACCATGCACGTACACGTAGTAAAACTAGACTTATCTTTAAAACACGAGAATCTTGAGTACACTGCGAATAACAAAGTTTTTAAATTTTAGTTTACTTTTGACTTTAAGCCATTTGTTTTAAATCGAAATTAATTGATAATGTAATTATTTCAAAGTAAAAATTTTCCGTCTGAAATGGGTTCTAATCTTCGCCCACTGAACCAGCCTACGCACGACATTCGCGCGAGTCTGTTTCTTCGCAATAGTCTGTATAGTGTCGAGGGCTAATTCTAAAAAGAATCGAGTCCTTACTAATCCAATGTTTATTAAAATTAGGTACAATTGTTGGAACGCATGAGAAATAACAAATTAATATTTCTTTAAATCTATAGCCAAAAGAAAGTAGAACTTTATAACTCTGTAAATTATGAATCGAGTGACGGCTGTCGTGAAAACGGGAGCCATTTTACTCTTTTTTTAGGGTGACCTACTTTTATTATATAATTTTAAAATTCATCGTTTTGATAAGCAGCTGAGTAGCTGACTACGCATGCGATATGGCTGGCACGTTTTGGGATAGGGATCGAGTACACAATAGAATTTTTTTTTTTTCTTAGACCTAAGCGTATTTTTTTTTAAATCAAAAGATACTTACATATCAGTTGTTGATTTCAATTTCATTATAGAGCTAGATGGTAATCACTAACTTCAGTTTTTAAAAGTGATTTTGCATCTAGATCTAGATCTAGCGTATTTTCAAAATTACGTAAATCTAGATCTATTTTTTAGATCTAGATCTACTTAGTAACTACTTACTATTTGACAACCGTGTCAGTAAAATGAGGTCAGCGCTTCCAGATTCTTAGGTTTTAATTATGTTTGTCATTTTGATCTATTATAAGTAGCATTAAAACAACTGCATCTATTATCAACACTGTTTTTATATGCCAGTTCTAATTATACATTCTGTTCATTACCAATTCTAATGAAATCGTATCAGGCCCTAACACCCTGTTCACCTACACTGACACTACACTTGAATGACGCCACAGAGAGTCGTAACTTTAAATTAATGTTTTAAGTACTAAACAATTATAATTAGCCATGTAAATGCTGCAACTATATTAAAAATTGGCATATAGACATATTTTATTAATTATGTTTTTTTATATAGACCTTCTATATTTAACTCTGTTATTTTTTTCTTCCTCAGAGTGTTTCTAAAAGCCAGAATTTTAAAGGGGAGGGCGGTCGTTTTTTTTTCTCAAGAATAATTATAGAAATAAGCTATAAACTGGTATATTTTGTAAAGTTTGACATAATTACAAATAAATGTATGCCTAAGTGACATTTCTGTGTAATTATATTGTTAATTTTGTGAATTTCGTGGATTTTTAGACCTCACTACATTTAGATGTAAAAAAAAATCTCAGTTGAGTGAGTGTGGTTAATCTACATTTTGAACATGATGTAAATGTCTAGTGCTATTAATTTTTATATTTTTGAATTCCTCGATTGTTAAGCAACAAAATTGATATATAATATGTCAATAATTGTTACTTTGAAAATTGGCGAAAATCGACCCTAAAAGTAGATGCTTGAGGGTTGAATCTGTTTCCTGCCATATAGTAGGCCTAATAAATTAATAATTAATTGGGGCCTATACTATAAACTAAATTAAAATTACTAAACAGTAGTATAAAAACAGTGAACTGATAGCATTTTAAGTAGGCCTAAAAATTATATAACAAATAGTTATAGGCCTAATAATAGTAAATAATTTATAATAAGCCTATTTTAAAAGAATTTACTTTTATTGTTACATTATTCAATTTTATTTTTATTGTTAACTGCATTATTCCACATATGAAATTAAATTCTCTTTTAAGTAACAGTTCCAGTGTTTCTTTCAGACTTTTTTCTTTTCTCCAGAAAGGGGGGGGGGGGGCGGACACTGGTAAAGTATGTATTTTCTATTTAAATTCCATTTCCTTTGGGGGGGGGGGGGGGGGCTGTAGCCTTTCTGCTGAAGAGATGCCTGGAAGAAACTCTGAACAGTTCTAAGTTCTAAGACTTAGATCTAAGTAGTAAAAGTACCAGTTTCTTTTGGGCATTACATCTCTTTTGGGGGGTGGGGGTGGTAGAAGGGAAGGATATTTTCTGATGGAAACTGGTTTTAGGCCCTACAACAGTTAACTAGAGTCAATTTAGTAATTAGAAGATCTAGGTTAAGGTGTAAATTTAGTTGAAGTTAAAATTAAAAAATAGAACGATAGTATAAATCTGGCTGGTGCTGATAAACCTGATAAATAAAAGTGATAGGCTTCTCCATTCACTAAGTAATTAACTGTATAAAAGTTTTAAAAAGTAAAGAATTTTACCTCTCATTTTTAGCAAGAATAAATACTATTCTCTTTAACTATAATTTACCGATGATTACATAAAACTGAGTTTTCAGTCTAAGGGAAATAACTCAACTAATACTTTCGCCAAAATCAACCTTTCTCGGTTGTAGCTCTTTATGGAACTCGGCAGTAACGATAACTCGATGAATCAAAAAATGCACCAAAAAAGGTTAACCTGTGATCAATTTTTCAGCAGACAGAAGCAGCTTTAGGGGATAGAGGTCTTAACTTGCTCATCAGTAATGCTGGTTTTATGGACAGAAGTACTGAGGGTAGCTTGAAAGACATCACCAGAGCTAACATGCAGAAACACTTCAGCATTAATGCCACAAGTATTTTATTTGAATATTAATATGTATATCAAGTTAAAAATATGCTTTTTAAACAAAATTATTCAGCTATGGTATTTACGATTTTTAAAAAAATTATAATTATTTTTTTTAATTTAAAATTGAAGTTTAGTTACATGAAGCAAATTTTAAATAGATATTGATTTATTTTATTTAGAAAATTTAATTTAGTTTATAGGCAAAATATTTAAATTCATTTACAGCATTTAAATTTTAAAATAATTAAGATATCATTTTTTTTATTAGTTACCTGAAGGAAATTTTTAAAAAAGTAAATAGACGTTTTTTTTTAAAAATTCAGCTTAAGGTTAAATATTTATGTTCAGGTACATGATTTAAATATTAGATTATTTATTAGTCTAACATCAACCTATTTTTTTTAGTTTGGTGTTTATCATTTCTGCCTTATACTATATTTCTCTTATTTTGACATATAATTTGTAGGTCCAGTAATGATCGTGCAGAAGTTTCTACCACTTCTAGTTAAAGCTGCATCGCAGGAAAAATTACAAGACCTTAGTGCTAGCAGGGCTGGTGTGGTTATGATATCTGGAAGGTTGGGATCACAAGGTTTCATATTTAAAAATGGCTATGGATCCTGGATCCCATACAAGTAAATATTTTTGTGGCTAAAATTATTGAGGTGATAAATTAACATTAATCATTTTTACAAACATGTTTGTGAAAGCGTGGTTGGATTGTTTAGCTTACCACTGCTAACCCGAAAGTCACGAGTTCGCACCCTGGGCTTTAGTCTGTTGAATGTTTGTGTTAGGGAATTCTGGGCATAGTGCTAACCACACAATCCCTTTTTATGCAGAGATCATTGTTTTGGACATGAATGTTAAAAAATGATGATGATATTTGTTTGTGTTTTAATAATTTTTTATTGTTGTCTTGCTCAAGGTGTTCAAAAACTGCTTTAAACATGGCAACCATCATGATAAGCAGAGAACTAAAAGATTCTGGCATTCTTGTTACTGCCATCCACCCTGGCTGGGTGCGTACTGACATGGGCACAGAGGCGGCTCCCACTGGTAAGGAGGAAAGTGTTGCTGATTGTCTGAAAGTTATTGGAGAGGCTGGACTAAAGACACATGGGAAACTGATAGACTATCAAGGACAAATTCTTGATTACTAAACATAAAAAATTGTGATATTTTTTTTAGACAAAATGAACATAAAAACAAAGAAATACTTTTTAAAATTACTGACAATCGGCGTGGTCGAGTCAGTAAAAGCTCATGGTTGCTAAACCAAAAAGTCTTGAGTTCGATCTCCTTAGATGAGGCTGGTTAGCTGGGGACAGCAACTCTTCTAGGAGAGACAACTCCATCATCAAACAACTGCTGCCTTGTAGTTTGTTCTTGGTTGGACAAAGGCTACAGTAGCAAATCCAAAAAGAAGTTAATACATTTAATTGTGTTGGAGAGAATTCCATCCGATCCAACAATAAAAATTAAGACCGAAAAAGAAAGAGACTAAACATTTTCATCATTTAACGTTAAAACTTATTCTATATGAGCCTTAATTTGGAAGCAACAACCACATAATTTTTTTACCTATGTATTTACATAATATATAAAAATTGATTCCTTGTGTCAATCTGTAAAAGTTATATTTTGTGTAATTTCTTTTGTTATATACCCCTACTTTTTAATTAGTAAATTATTTATTGATTGGGTAAAGGTTTGTCACCAAGACATGCAGCAATAATGTGATTGATTTCATGAATTGATTTTAATGTATTATTATGTAAACTTTATAAGAAATATTATATTTTATTATATTTTATTTATATACATTTTGTTGATCTTTTTTTTGTGAGATATACAAATTAAGTTACCCTTTCTAAACTCATGGTCCATAGAGCAGATGAAGTAGAGTTCAGCTCTTTCCGAGACTTTGGCAAATCAATGGAGAAGGGATTGTGTGGTGAGCTTAACTTTACCTAACATAAGTCAGGTACTCATTGGAGCTGGGTGGACTCAGGGACAATCTGTAGACTGAAGCCCAGTATCCAAACTTGAGGGGTTAATAATAATTCACCTCAAGTGTTGAAATATAAATGACTTGGGTACTGAACACATTGGGTGTATATGTTACAGGTTATGTAATTTTATTACATAGGCCTGTATGTTTTTTTATATTAGTTGTCCCTCAGTAAATAAGTGATAAGTGAGAAGCTTTCTTATTTTTGACATACATAAATTGTTTGTGTATGTATAGTAATAAATATCAATAAGTGTATATAAAACCATAGAAGTGCATTTGTTATATTTAGAACATTAAAGAATAGGTTTCAAACGTGTAAATAAAATACTTATAGTATATATAACATACATAAAATAATGTATAAATAATAAAAATATGAAATGTGTGTGTAACATACATAAATGTAACTAAAGAGTACATACTGTACATATGTTTTTAGAACTCTTTTTATGCTCAATACAACTTTCCTTTTATAAAAACTTACAAGATATTCTAGCCAGCCAATCAGAGATTTGAACTGCGTGGTCACACCTTGCCTTTTAGCAACTTTCACGCTATGATTCCTAATTTTAAATTTTTGATGATTATTTTTTTAAACAAACCGCTATGTACTGGCTGTGTTAAATGAACCACGAAGTTACAAGAGATGACTGTATATGGGCTGCTATCTCACAACACATTGTTTCTCTAACCTTGGCATGTAGAGAGATAATGAATCCAGCAGTTTGCCCATTTGCCTTAACTTGATTTAAGTCAGGTACAGTTCTCAATGAAGCTGGGTAGATTCAAGGGCATTATATAGACTGAAGTGATAAACTGAACTCGAGATCTTTGGTTTTGTAAATGCCCTCTACCGCGCGACTACGCTGCATCACTATTGGAGAGTTGGAGCTTTATTCTTCGACCAACCAGATATCAGGAGGCATCGAGTATGCTAATGTACGTGTCATGGGTCTGCGTGGCTTAGCGGTAGAGAGCTAGACCCATTGGGTTGATCAACCTCTAAAGGTGACTGGGAATATAAATGATCACACAACACCAGTGAATGCTGATCTCACAGAAACAGACGAATCCTATTCGTGTTGGGCAACTTAAGCGGGAAATTATTGGTAACTTAAACAGGTAATTCGTCTTTGGGTTCTACCCACCAAACCCCATACCAACCAACCCCCATACCCACCAACCCCCATACACACCAACACCCATACCCACCAACCCCCATACGCACCAACCCCATACCCACCAACCCTATACCTACCAACCCCCATACCCACCAACCCCCATACCCACCAACCCCCATACCCACCAACCCCATACCTACCAACCCCCATACCCACCAACCCCCATACCCACCAACCCCCATACCCTCCAACCCCCACACCTACCAACCCCCATACCCACCAACCCCCACACCTACCAACCCCCATACCCTCCAACCCCATACCTACCAACCCCCATACCCACCAACCCCCACACCTACCAACCCCCATACCCTCCAACCCCATACCTACCAACCCCCATACCCACCAACCGCCATACCCACCAACCCCATACCTACCAACCCCCGTACCCACCAACCGCCATACCCACCAACCCCCATACCCACCAACCCCCATACCCTCCAACCCCCATACCCACCAACCCCCATACCCACCAACCCCCATACCCTCCAACCCCCATACCCAATAACCCCCATACCCACCAACCCCATACCTACCAACCCCCATACCCACCAACCGCCATACCCACCAACCCCCATACCCTCCAACCCCCATACCTACCAACCCCCATACCCACTAACCTCTCATTGTTGATATATTTAAGCTGCTTTTCCAGGAAAATTCTACTTCAAGGGCAATTAATTTTTAAACAACACCATCACAACTAACGATCTCGAGATCAATACACTAATGCACTGAGCTCACAGACTAGACTGAATTTTCTGATATCTCAATTTTTTCGATCTTTTTGTATGTCTATAAGATTCACAGGAAGCTATGGTAAACTTTTTACCAGTAATATGTAATACGAAATATATCAGACACATCCATCCTTCTGTGTTTGACGTCATTTTCGGAAGCATTTAAATTTACTAAGGTATACCCAGTAACAAGCAGAGAAAACTACCAGCGATTGTAGCTGATTATTTGCTGCTTTCTCATTGAATGTTTACTTAACATACACACTTCAATAAAAAGTTTTTTTTTTTTTTTTTTTAAAGTACGCCCTGTCATTTGAACACTTCAGGATCAGGTTTCATACTGTGTTTTTTGACTTCGAGAAAACGGATTGACAAATCGATTATTGATTTATTGACTTGCATGTTGCTACTGCTGCTTTGCAGGTCCACTGTTTTCTATTTTTAAAGAATGAAAAGTCGACAGAGTGGAACATCAAAACAAATTTGAAAAGCTTCAAGGTCAAGGCTGAACTTAAAATAACTAACATAATTGCATACATAAATATTTATATTGTTATGTGTTCAAACACGCCCGTAAAGTATATATATATATATATATATATATATATATATATATATATATATATATATATATATATATATATATATATATATAATATAGTTTGGTAGTCTATTAATAGTTTGCACAAAAGACAGTAACATAGGACTGTGACTTAAACATCACAATACCGTATTGCAGAGGCTTAGCGAGGGGGGGGGTGTGTGCGGAACGCACCGGGTGACACCATTTAGTGGGGTGACACCAAGGCAAAAAGTAGCAAAATATATAGAGAAAAATGATAAGTCCACTTAATTAAGTGAATAATTCAAGTGTTATATAGTGTTTTAAGAGGTGCAAATCGAAAGTTTGAGGAGGGGGGAGGGGGGTGAAAATTGAAAATTGAAAGTTTGTCCCCGGGAAGGGTCGCTACGCCTCTGGGGGGAGGGTGACACCATTAAGTGCCGTACCGGGTGACACCCGACCTCGCTACGCCACTGCCGTATAGGGAGGGGTTCGAGACTTAGATTCAGAATCTTGGTGCCGGGGTGGGTGCTGCCAACATGTGAGAAGTGAAGGCCAGACTTGAATGAATCACGTAGATGTAAACATGGGGCTGGTTTACAGGCGTGAGTTTTAATGGGCAGGGTGTGTGTCGTTATGATGAGGTTAGTGTCAGCGTAACACAGGTGCATGTGAAAATCGATAAGGACGGAAAGTAGGATGACGTAGTACAAACCATCAGTGCAGGACTTAAGAACAGCAACACACACACACACACACACACACATATATATATATATATATATATATATATATATATATATATATATATATATATATATATATATATATGCATAAATATGTGTGTGTGTGTGAAATTATGACAAATAGGCTCATCCATTAGGTATCGTGGAGGCGATATTAATAATAAATATTAGGCATCGACACGACATAAACTGACTACGGAAATTGAGTAGTCGACCTTTATTTATAAGCGATTTTGAAAGTAATATCGATAATTGGAAGTATGAGTAATATATTTTTTTAAATACATTTTTTGTTTTATTGTTACTTCTTCACTGACTTTCAAAATTTGCAGAGTGAATAGCGATAACTTTATATAGATATGCTTTTTTTTTCTATTCGATATGTAATAAACCATTAAAGTATCAAGATGTATTGTTTTTCTATGGAATAGTTTCCGGCCGGACAGCCTCGAAACGAGCCCGCGGCCCTTCGGTTTCAGACATTTTTGTTCTTCTATTTTTAGCAAACTCTAGCTGCATAAAGCTAGCTCGCCCTTGTAGCTTTGTCAGTACCGTCTTGCACATTGAAGAAGTAAATAGATCTAGATCTACATGTAGTTAAAGAAGAAAATAAAAACTGAGTTAGAAGTGAATGTCAATTATATAGCTTATATCAAAGAAGAAAGATTGATAAAGGTAAGTTGCCAACATGTTATTTATAAAGTGAAAAAAAAACTCTTACGGTTAAAATAAAAGATGCTTTAAAAATTTTTTTTCTCATTAATTAAATTTAATAGGCGTGTGCTAACTGAATAGTTTTTTTTAACAATCACAATTTTCTTTTGTGTAATCAATTCCTTTTTAATTAAAAACTTGTTAATATTTTTTCATTGTTTTGATATGGTTTTTTTTAGATTTTGTAATCAAAACGGTTTAAAAAAAGAAAAAAAACAACCTGAAAATTTTCGGAGGGCGATCACTGTTAAAAGTTAATATTTTCTACATAAATTTCATTTTGTTCAGGGGAGGAGGGGCGGTAGACTTTCTTCGGGGCGGAGGGGGGGGGGGGGGGGGGGGGAAGGTAGAAGAAACTTTGCTGGAGTTTCACTTACGTACAATAAACATTGATTGGCTCTACAGGAACTCCGTGATCGCTATTCTGAAAACACCACTTCATAGAAAAAGCAAAGGAATTTGTATTGAAAGCTTAGCCGATACAATTTCTAAATTAAATTATTTTTTTTAAAAAACCACATTATCTAGTTTAGCCATTTTTGTTTTCTGTGTTAATGTAAAAAAAATGTTTTGGCTCATTTTTTAAATTTTGTTTAGTTGTCAAAAAATACTAAAAACATCAGTTACATCCAATCTTTAGTAAAGTCCAACAAAAATCAATATTATTTTTGTAGCCATTTTTATTTTAATAACATCGTACACCCCATGCGGATCATCTCAACGACAGAATCGTTGAGCCTCTCTCCGACTGTGTCGCTGAGAATAAAACCCTTTGGTGGTTTCTCAGTCAACACTGTCGTTGAAAATAAAACAATAATTAAACATGCTCTCCACAATTAGGAAAGCATAAACTGTAGGTGTTTTGAAGCTAATATTCCAGCCATTTTGTTTTGACGAGAGCTAGTCCAGATCTAGACTAGATCTACTTGATCAACGATTTACACTGATGTAAAACCTACGTAAATCAAATCTACAAGATCAGGATTTACATTTAGATCTAGAGATCTACATTATTGACTAGAGAGAAAAAGTTAAAAGTATGCCTAGTGCGTCGAAAGTAAATGATAGAATCTAGATCTAGAGAGATCTAGAAAATCTAGATCTAGTAATTTTTCAGTAGCACTAGCTAGATCTAGTCTAGATTGACTAGATAGAAAGATAATTATTTCTGTGGCATAGCTGTCCTTTAGCATTTAGGATCTAGATCTAGAAGTCTAGATCTACTCAATTTTAAATCTCTTCTATTTCAAATTGTTTGTAGATCTATATCTACAAGATTAGGCTTAGGTCTAAAAATAATTAAATATACTAAAGTTAAAGCTACACAAGTACACATCATTCCTAAACTTAATGCCATTAATGGCTAAAATTCACTGAGCATTGTTGCACTTAAGACTTAAACGTAAGGCCTAAATAAATACTAAATAAAATTATTACGTTAGCTTAATTTTCGTGACAGCTTTTCTCTTCTTTTTTGCCATGCTTAATTTAAGTCATTTTCATGTGCTGGTAGCTTAAAATAAAACTTGTTTAGGAAGTTTATTTCTTTCTCCCTTTCATAATGCTGCAAATATGAGTAAGACGCTTATTATTATAATTAAATAGCTGCGATAAATAATCATTTGCATCTTTTTGGGGGTATTTCTTTTACATGAACTGTGAAATACGGTATCTCAAATTTTGTGCGTAACTCAAAGCGAAATATTACTCGCTCAACTGCTCGTATTTAAAAAATCTGGTATGTCGAGGCACTAGAATGTTGAGGTACCACAGGATCTACTATGTATTGAAAGAAAACATAAATTAATTATAGAATAATAGGCAAATATAGTAATAAAGTAGGCCTTATAGCTTTAGATTTTATTCAGCCTACTAATAAATAATTAAATAGGCCTAAAGTAGTACTAGATATTAGTTAAATCACTAGTATTGTGTAGGGTTATTTTTATTAAAAAAACAGATCACATCTTATACATTAAGGCGGGCTCAATAAAATAAAAATAATTTATTTAGGACCTAGGCCTATCTTTTGGAGATCTAAAATTCTAAATGAAAAATAAATTATTAATTAGACCAACAATAGGCATAGTATGCTAAATCTATTTTAGTATTTAAATTTAAGGCTCGGCCATCTACTAAAAATTTTATAAATGTCATAAAATGGCCTACTTAATTATAATTACTAATTACTATTAGGCCTAAGTTTAAACTAGAGATAGCCTATTTTATTAGTAGAAAAAGTATTAGTCATAGTTAAGATGGTATATATAGCCTTATGTAAATTAATGTAATCAGTGTTAGATATTATGATATCGATCAAGCAATTATTATATAATATCGGAAAGGGGCCTAGCACTCTCTTAGTCATTAGTCTATTAGGTCTTACAAGTAGTTTAGCCTATTTATATATTATAGGGCCTATAGGCTGTTATTTAAATTAGGCCAAAGGCTTATTAGGAAAAGGCTTAATAGGCTTTAGTTTTTAATTAGGCAACAAGGCAGAGGCTTAATGTTGCTTATAGATTTAATTTGAAATTATTATGATATACGCTACTCTGCGACTATCACTATAGACTGCTATAGAGTATATTATAGCCTAGGCCTATCTAAATAAAATAATTCAACTCACTTAGCTTACTATAATTTTTAAAAATGTTTAGTTAAGTATTCAGCTCTCTATGTCAGCTAAGGCCCATAATTGTAATTATCCTACTGTTAGATCTATTAATTATTTAATAATTAGTAGGCCTAATTATAGGAATTAGGTCTGATACATTAAGTCCTATACATTGGTCGTAGAGTAATACTATTGGGCTAGTAATTATATACAATATCTATACAAGCCTACTTAACGTTAATTTGGAAGTCTTTGCATTGACCTTAGTTTTCAGATGTAGCAGCCTAATTTTTATCAGATTATACCATAAAATCAAAAGTAGACTTGTAGATCTTTTTAAAACAAGGCATGAAATATTAATTTAAATAATATAAATTAAACAAATAGCCTAAATAACAACTACACAAAGTTAAAGTCATAATAACTTTTTATAAAGGTATCTTGAATTTCAACTGGAGGTAGTTTTGATAAATATTAGTATTCTGAACATTAAAATAGGTAGACTTAACATACATTTGTTCTGAAAACATATTTAGAAATTGGTTTTAAAAAATGAGGTTAGGATTGGGGTGATAACTAGTTGAGGATTAGATATGATATTCATTGTGTTTATCCATGTTGTAATTTCTCTTTTACAGGTTCATCCAAAAAAAAGGGAAGATCTGATTTTTACCAGTAATAAGACTACAGCATACTAAATGACACAAGATGTTCTTTCTCTATTACCTCTTACATTTGACATAAAAGTAGGAAAAGGTATGACAATTATTAATAAGCTGCTTTAAATTTTATAATTTTTTTTTATTATAACTTAATTGTACCTTTTTTTATTTCCAATAATGATAAATATAATTTAGTGTCATTTATATTTTAAAATATTTACATTTTACTAGATATAATTTACTTCTATAATATTACTATCCAGGTTTAACAGTCTATGCCTACAACATAGATCTCCAGGACTAAAAGTACACAAAATGGCAATCAGTATATCACAAGTGTAATAACACATGCATCTAATCTGCCTCAGTGGCGAGAACTGGGTGAATCCTCTCAAACATTAATCAGGTAAGTTATCACAAGTTTGCTTTGGTTTATTTTGAACATGTTGATTGAGATAGATTTTTATTTGTATAAATATTGTATTTAAAAAAATATTTTACCTAGTAAAACCAAGTCAGTGGTGATGATTGATACAATATCATTATGTATTTTTTTAAATATTTGTTTTGCAAAATATGCTGATTTGCAGGAAGGATATATATATATATATATATATATATATATATATATATATATATATATATATATATATATATATATATATATATATATATATATATATATATATATAAAACAGTATCATTTAGTGGTTTGTCTTACAAATTTGAATTATTTACTTAATCTGTCTTAACTGCTCAACAGGAACTAGGCATACCTAATGAGCGCCAAGCTGATACAGTAGATGTACAGAAGAGTTTATACACAAGGTAAATATTGATAAATTTTAAGTTTTCTTTTTTTAAGGATACATGTAGTGTTTTGGGAGAAAGGAATTAAATTATTTAAATTAGGCCTAATAGTTTATTTCTCTAGCTTATGTTTCACTTAAAATAACTTAAATTTTTCCCCCTTTATCACTAAAGCAAAATTTTATAGATATCTATGCCATGATTCATCTCATTCAATCACTTTTTTCTTGTTTTGTTTTGATGTATTAAACTAATTTAAACTAAAGATTTTTTTTTTTTTTTTGCTAATTTTATTATTTCAGATGGATGATTAAGAAAATCATTTTGTTTTGTTTCAGGAAGTGAAAAGTGATGTAAAAGGCAACTAATACTTCCATCTACCATAGTTAAACAAGAATCTGCAAATGGTGATAATTGCAATAATCTTGATATATTAATGTTTGGCTTTATAATTATATGCAATTGTTTCATAAATAAATTATTTCTCAAAATTTGATGTTTTTGGTTTTCATACTTTGTACATAAGATGCAAGTGATTGAAAGCTGAAAAGGGTTGTATGTAGTTATAGTATTCCCAGCACAAGTTGACATTAAAACAGCTGAAGCCCTTTAAAAAAAAAAAAAAATAATAATAATAATCTAGGAATGCTGTTTCTATTAGCTGAGCATATATTTGGAAAAGAACTTAATTGTTTACCAGAGAACACTGTGACCCAGTTTGTACTCCAGGCAAAAAGTGTCTATGGTTAATATTATTAAGTTAAAGAAAAGTATCAAACAAACAGGATAATATTAATAAGCAAGACCTCCACACTAGAGAAGTATGGAATGAGTGTTGCATGGAATTCAAATCAACTTTGATGTTGCTAATTGCTACACTGGCCATAATTGGCCTACATTGATTTTTGCTGAGGTAGGCAACTGTTTTTGTTTAACTTTAGATGTCGACTAAATAAAGAAGAAAACTGACACGCCAATACCAAAATCAAGAACTTGTAAAGTTCGTGGTTGCTAAACCGAGAAGTCCTGAGTTCAATCTCCCGTGTAGATGAGGCTCTATAGTTGGGGATAGCAACCTATCTTGGGGATACAACACTTGTTCTTGGATTGACAAAAGATAAGAAAAGAAATCCAGAAAGAAAAGCAGCTGAACGAAGAAGAAAAAGGCTGGATATATTCGGTATCAACTGTACAATTTTAACAGACACACATTTCAAACTACACATGCATTTCAATGACAAAGTTCAGTGAAGCCATAATGTTGAGTTTGACTGAATGAAGAACGATATTGTTATTTCAAGCAAAGTTAAGGTTTATTGTCTTAAAGACATTGTCGTGGATTGATTTAGACTAAGACTTCCCTGTTAAATAAGCCGACAACGATGGCTCTTTTTATTTCTCGTCTTTGATGTTGCTTTCAAGAACTTGTATGAGATTAGATTACCTACATACATAAGGCTACACAGTTTGGAATCTTGGCTTTCTAATAGTGGACCTGGCTACATGACATTACCCCCACCCCGTCAATTACCCCCCCCCCCCCCCGGAGGAGACCCCCCCCCTCCCGTATTTACCCCCCGGGGCAATTACCCCTTGTCAATAACCCCCCTGGAGAATCCCCCCCCCCCGGCCTCAAGTTATGATCCTAACTCAAACTCTATACCTATGTATTTCCTTAATCCTAATCGATAAAAAATGACCAAACCCTAAGCATTTACCTCAGCCTAAAACTTAACACATAACCAAAACCAACTCTAGACTTAGGTTTCAGCCTAACCTTGACCATAACACTAACCCTAATCCTAGCCTTAATCCTAACCCTGACCATAACACTAACTCTAATTCTGAATCTAACCCTAGCCCTAACCTTAGCCCTAACGCTAACCCTAACCTTAGCCCGAACGCTAACCCTAACTCTAGCCCTAACTCTAACCCTAGCCCTAACTCTAACGCTAACCATAACCCTAACCTTAGCACAAACGCTAGCCCTAGCCCAAACTCTAACTCTAGCCCTAACTCTAACCCTAGCCCTAACCCTAATCCTAACCCTAGCCGTAACCCTAACCATAATCTTAACCTTAGCCAGAACGCTAACTCTAACCCTAGCCCTAACGCTAACCCAAACCCTAACCCTAGCCGTAACCCTAACCATAACCCTAACCCCAGCTGTACCTTAAGAGGTGTGTGCGTGGGGGGGGGGGGGGTGGGGAGATGTCCTCCTTGGCGGGGGGTAAATGACAGGGGGTAATTGCTTCAGGGGGGGGGGAGAGAACTAATAATCTGTAAGTCCTACTATTCAATACATTTGGTTAACACAATGTCGTCACACATGTAAAACAAAATAAGCAGTGTGTTTATTATTTGTATCCTTAAAAAATGCAAAATAAATGCTACGCCATTAACTCAACCCTCTTTTTTCTCGTTACATATCGTCACATAAAGCCACCGCCCAAAATGATGGTGACGTCAATACACAATCATAAAGTGGTCACCCATTAACCACGACTCACTCTTCAGACGATTTTGCACCAAACCCCCCTTCTCTAATTGTAACAAATTTTCACAAAAAGCCAGATCTTCGCTCCCCCCCCCCCCCCACCACTCTCTTTAAAAACACTACACCTCAACACATAACCCCCTCCGCCGTTCCCCTGAAACTGCATTTTTACTTTCTCGTATATAAGAAGTATAGAGAAAGTCTTGTAATCGTGCAAAAAAAAAAAAAAAATCGAGATTTTTTTTACAAATCTCGACGTTTTACACCTCACTGATACGGAAAAACATAATTTTGCAATCTTGTCCGTATGTCTGTGTCTGTGTGTGTCTGTGTGTAAACACGATTACTTGAGTACCGTTACAGCTAGGTTGATGAAATTTCATATATAAGTATTTTATCAAAATCATAGATCCGTATAAACTTTTGAGTGATTTCCGATAACCGAAAGTGGTACTTTTTCTACTTTGAATTTTTCAAAAGCCTATAACTTGAGTACTATTGCAGATAGATAAATGAAATTTCACATGTAAGTAAAAGATCTAATTCTCTACCTTCTGTCAAATTTTGAGTAATTTCCGTTGACAGGAAGTACTAATTTACGCTATTTCCGATTTCTCAAAAAACGCACGTAAATTTATAAAGTACTAATAATGTTGCGCACTATTATGCACATCTTTATTTGACGTTCACTTGGTGTGCAATTCTTTTTTCTACGAGGTTTTATTCTATTTTAAAAAGTTTAAGTATTTAAAATGGATTAAAAATCATGTCTATATCCCGAGTTGCCATTCCCCGTAGTGTTATATTAGAATATTCGAGAAAGTTTAGGGGAGATCACTCCCGGTTTATTATAATATGTACTGACCTCGATAAACATTGAGTTAATAAATGAATTAATACCAAAAGCAATCTTTTAAAGCCCGAAATAACGGATGAAAGCAAAAATGTGTCGTCACACTTTCCGATCATCCCTTCCCATAAATGAAAAAAAAAGCCTGAACATACTAAAGGAGAGTATGGATGTTGATGGAGGATCCCAACGTTAAAAATTAAAGAAGCGCAAAATTTCAGGAATCCATGTTACACATTATTATTTTCCGTAGGTATAACAAAGGTATTTACATTGTGTTTTATATTTTACGAGCCGCTATCATACGCCGCTATTTTGTTGTTTCATTTTCTACTTTTCAGTAATTCATAATTTGTGAATTTGACAGTAACAATGCTGCCACTGAAAATATTTGCTTTAAAACACTATCAGTAGCTCGTTAAGGACGATAACCCCCCCCCCTCCCTCCTTTCTCAAAAATCCTACCCCCCCCCCTCCTCGTGAAAGCAGCCCCCTCTGAGTTACCTCCACTAAGTTTAAAATCGTTTCAAACTAAATTATCTGCCCCTAATAGCTGTCACTAAACCCGGCTCTACGATTGTAAACATTTAGCTTGAACCACAGCTCACCAGACCATGTAGGGATGGGGGTGGTAGGGATAGAGAGAAAGAGAGGGGGCTGCTAGGGGCGCTTACAGCTTGGTGTTTTCTATGGTATCCATGAAGAGAATTATTTATATAGAAGAAATATATATTAAACCAGCGTACCCGTCCCGCGCGTTGCTGCGGTCTCAGAAGACAGACTGACGCAATATTTTAAGAGGATTCCATAATTACATTAGCAATCACGTATTTTTTTACGCTTGACATTGATTTCTAAATCTAAACAATTTAAATGTAATCAAAGCCGGTGTTATATTGCTTTCATCATAGTTGTTGAGGCGCAAATTCTACCGCACACAGTAGCCCATTGTATCCATAATGTATCGCACTCTTTAAAACGAACGTAGGCGCAATAGTGTTTATGAGGGACCCACACAGGGGCGCTAGACCACACGCCAGTGGTGCAGTAGACAAAAAATTTCCCTACTGTAGGGCGCTCTTTTAAAACTCATAGTGTTCCTCCCGAAGCCAGTGGCGCATCGGGTCAAACGAATTGTCATCGAATGTCGTGTGCCACAGGGTCAATATTGTAGAGTGCTCTTTAACACAACCTTAGGATATCTCAGGGCGCCAAATCGCTTCCTGCCGGGGAGCCGGCAGACGCGCCTGATTCCATATAGTCAAAAATTATTGTTGCCCATCGTGTCTTTAGTGTATAAATTAAAAAAAAACGAACGTAGGCGTCATAGTGTTCACATGGTAGCACGGGGCGCTTCGGGTTACGTAATATCCGGGGCGCCGGCGGCTGCGCCTGTTGTTGCTTTTTTACCTTAGCCCCCATGCAGTTTTAATATCGCCGCCCTGGATTTTCAGGCGCCAAGCCGTTTATTAACAAAAATCGCACCCTCCAGGGAAACGCCCATAATAAATTTTAATTTTTGTTTTCGCAGAAACCTTCTCGTGAGTGTTTTCATTAACTCTCGAAAGTTTAACGGCACTCAGATAAACGATGTCAAACAGCATCCGTTTTGTTTTTTACAAACTGTGTAGAGAAAAATTGCACCCTCCAGAAGCGCCGCCCTGTTAAAATAAAATAAAAATAACCTCCCCTGAAGTTTTATGGCGAGCGGATGAACGGGATTAAACCGCAATCTACTTTTACGTATATATACCCTATATAGGGATCTATATATAGAATCGATTCGCGCCCTGCTGGGGCACCGTGCTTGTGAAATATATCCAGTGGTATTCTTAACTTAAGTTGCATGGCCATAGGATGAAAGGTGTAGTGCTGCATAGAGGACATAAACAAACCCACAAACAAACAAGCAAAACTTCATTATATATATACATAGAGAGAAATATAAATAATTCTACATATGCATATATATATATATATATATATATATATATATATATATATATATATATATATATATATATATATATATATATATATATATATATATATATATATATATATATATATATATATATATATAGCTACATTTGGTGACTTCCCATTTTCCCCAATGGCGTCAAATTTTGCACATAATCCACCTATTAATTCATGTGAAAAAAGCATCGTTTTCATCGTAAATTATTAGATTTTGGTATCAGCCTCTCTCCGGTCGTCGCTTAGCAAATCTGTTATCCAAAAATTCAACAAGCATGTATTCACCTGTACATTTTGCAGTTTGTGTCATCTCCCCTCACCCCCCCCCCCCCCCTGAATGATAGTTTTTAAACGTGCACAGTTAATTGTATATTTTTTTTTATCTGCAGTCAGTTATTAGTACAGTTAACTCTCATTAGTCATTTATTGAACTGGCAAAATGCTTACTTCTTCTATATATTTTGCTATTTTTCGCCATGGTGTCACCCCCGAAATTTTGCCACCTTGCGCAGTCCTCAGCCCCGCCCCCCCCCCCAACCTTGTGACGCCTCTGGTTAGGGGTACTACTTGAGTACAGTAAATATGTATATGTATATATATATATATATATATATATATATATATATATATATATATATATATATATATATATATATATATATATATATATATATATATATATATACATATATATATATATATATATATATATATATATATATATATATATATATATATATATATATATATATATATATCGGGGGGGGTATAGCCCCTTGGCACACCTTGTACCTACGCCACTAGATAATCATGTTCTTAAGATTATATAGCACATTCTATGTATAAATTCGATAAAAATAGCTATTACGTATTCTGCAATTTTATATTTGTAATAACATATTGTAAACGAAATGAGTCTTAAATTCGATTAAAAAATGGGCCTTTATATTATGTATTTTTTCTATTTTGCAATCATATCATGTATTACTTGTTGTATAGCCTAGATTCTATAATAATATACTAATATATTCTATATTACATAATCCTATATTATATCGTTTAGTAATCTCTACCCTAATGTTTTCTATACCGAATAATCAATATTCTGTAATTCTAAATTGTGTATAAATTAATCATACAATCTCTAAAATTAATCATAACTATGATCACAATTAAATTCAGCAATCCACTGTATTAATTTATATTGCTAAAAATAATTTAATTTTCAATTTTAAAGACAGAAGATACATTTTTTATAATATTAATTTAATTATTATTAGCTCTGTAAAATGAATGGTTTTTTAATTTTTCTTATATTAAATATTTTAAGCGATTAATTAATCGAAATGGTTTTATTCCGTTAGCTAGTTTTTACAGTTTATAACTATAATTAGAGTCTCAACGACAGAATCAAATGAGAAAAAATCTATAGCGTTATTATATACCGACACTGTTGATAAGCCACTCAACGACAGTCTCGTTGAGAATAGTGTAGGATCGGCTGCATCGTACATGATTTTAAAACAAAATATTTTTAATGGGCCTTCCGAATAATTTTGAGACTATTCTCGGATGAGTCCATTTATTTACATGTACCTAAAATAAGTGCATGCCAATCTTTTAACAGTCAGAGCGTTTTTACGTTTACATTTTAATATTTAAATAAACCGGGAGTGATCTCCCCAAAACTTTCTCGAATATTCTTATATAAAATAACAGGGGATGGGAACTCGGGCTATAGACATGATTTTTAATCCATTTTAAATACTTAAAGTTTTTAAAATAGAATAAAATCTCGTAGACAAATTAATTGCACACCAAGTGAACGCCAAATAAAAAAGCGCATAATAGTGCGCAATATTATTAGTACTTTTAAAATGTACATTAGTTTTTTGAGAAATCGGAAGTAGCGTAAATTACTACTTCCGGTCAACGGAAATTACTCAAATTTTAACAGAAGGTAGAGAATTAGACGTTTTACTTACATGTGAAATTTCATTTATCTATCTGAAATAGTACTCAAGTTATAGGCTTTTTAAAAATTCAAAGTAGGAAAAGTACCACTTCCGGTTATCGGAAATCGCTCAAAAGTTGATACGGATCTACGATTTTGATAAAATACTTATATATGAAATTTCATCAACCTAGCTGTAACGGTACTCAAGTTATCGTGTTTACACACGGACACACACACAGACAGACAGACAGACACACAGACATACGGACAAGATTGCAAAATTATGTTTTTCCGTATCAGTGAGGTGTAAAACGTCGAGATTTGTAAAAATCTCGATTTTTTTTTTTTTCACGATTACAATACTTTCTCTATACTTCGTATATACGAGAAAGTAAACAACAAGCTATCTTTATTTTCACAGAAAGAAATGAATCAAAAGTCAGAAATTGATCTTTTGCTGATCGGTAAAACTGGAAACGGTAAAAAGCGCAGTTGGAAACTCAATTTTGGACAGAAGAGTTTTTGAGAGTAGCGGCTCTACTACTTCAGTGACTAGAAAAATTGACTACGAGGTGAGCGAGGTCAATGGCCGAGTGATCAAGGTGGTGGATACACCAGGTGTCTGCGACACTACCAGTGACAAACAAGCAGCTGACAAGCTGGTGATGGATGCTTTAGAGAGAGCTATCGCTACCAACCCTAAAGGGTATCATGCTATGCTGCTGGTTGTAAAGTATGGTGGGAGGTTTACTGGGGAGGAACAAGCTGGGATTAAATATCTGAAAACACTTTTTGGTGAGAATTTTGTTAAAGATTATGGCATACTAATTGTAACAGGAGGGGATACTTATGAATTTGATAACCAACGACATGGAATACCCTTCGAGAAATGGTGTCGTCAGCAAATAGGAGCTTTTAAAGAACTTTATGAAGAATGTGACAGAAGAGCCGTTTTGTTTAACAACATTAGCGCTGATAAGTCGATAAAATCAAATCAGGTTAGACAACTCATCACTGTTGTGGACCAACTAAAGAGCCGAGGTAAACGTTACACTAATCAAGCTTTTGAAAGGGCCAGAGAGTCCAGAGCTAAAGTCTTCGTTAGGGTCAAATACCCCTTTTGGTTAAAGATGAAACAATTCGGGAATTGAGCCTCATTCTGCAAAAACCTTCGACAAATTCAAGAATCAGAAGAACCGTCTCGAGAATTAGGAAACGCGGAGACTCTGTTGATTCGAGTTGAGGCCCTGTCTGATAATATTTCGGGGCTTGACCGTGGGTCAGGAGAGTACCATAGCATGGTCAATGCCGTTAAAAATATCAAAGCTCACGTGGCTAAAGAAATAAAAGAAATTTTACAGAGCCCAAGAATGGCAAAGAAACATGCGCGAAGAACAGATGAGGATTCTAGAAGTACAAAGACAAAATGCAAGAGTACGAGAGAAGAGTGGAAAAGAAATTGGAGAGAGAAAAACAGGAAGAGTTGTTAAGGAAACAAAACGAACTGAAAGAAAAAAGAGATACAGATGCAGAGGGACATGGTGAGTGCGAGCTGAACAGATCAGGAAGGAGGCTGAGAAGAAAAAAGCAGCAGGAAGAAATGTACGCGATGGAGCAGAACTACCTGGAGCTCAAGAGGAAAACGGATGAAGGTGTTTTGACTAAATTAGTTTTAGGGGTGACAAAACCATTTAGAATGTTAGGCGATTGGCTTTTTTCTTAAGTCTGTACTTAAATATACAGCAGTCTATTCGTGCTTTCTGGTGCTTGTATTTAAACAGTAAAGCCACTTATTGAATTAATTAACTTATATCTGTACTTAAATCCATTCCACTTATTGATTTCTTACTCTTTATGTTTTTAACGCTTTTAAGACATAGACACTTTACAATGTCCTGTTCATAAATTTACTTGTATTAAAATCAAAGTCGAATATCTGTATATAATCAGCAGTATAATAGATTTGTTATTTGGGTAGGCCTACATGATTTGGAGAATTGCTTAAATCAATAACTATACAAATTTAATCACGCAAACACTTACAAATGATTAGAACCACCGACATGATGTCCACTAGTATATAAATCAACATGTATTCAGCCATTGTATCTTTGTAAATTTTAGGGAAGGTGTAGTCGATCACCAGAAACTTATACATGATGGGTCTAAGACATTAACCACTCGTTAGCTGGGGACAGCCATTCCTCTAGGAGAGACAACTCCAAAATCAAACCTTGTAGTTTGTTCTTTGTTGGACAAAGGCTATGGAAGCAGAAAGAAAAGCAGGCGCATAATCCCTTATTTCTTTTGAGGAGATCCCTAACAGCACTAAAATTAAAAACGAAGAAAAAAAAACCCCACTATCTATTAATCCCACCAGTCTTTAACCCCCCCCCCCCCCCCCATTAAGAAAACAATAACATAGTCACACAATTCATTTTTAGTGTTTGACTCAAGATTTTGACAACCTACCTACTGCATATAGATCTAGCCTTGTTGTCTAGGCAGCCCATACTAGATTTACACCGTAGCTAGAAATAGCACAAAGTACACTTGTAAAATATTCCTTTTTTTTTCTGTTTTATTTTAACCAGCACGTAAATTTGGAGCATGTTCTATCGGGAATGAAACAAGGAGATAGAGTCAAGATATTTTTATGATGAAATAAATTGCCACTGTCGACAAACTTTGATAAATTCTCTTTTCAAATAGTGTCAAAGAAAACAGAAGTTATTGCGCCTTTATATTCCCTTTTCATTTCACATTGTATATAAAGTTAACATAATACTATTATAAATTTAAATATTATAAATTTAGATATTATTAGAAATAATTATATAATAAAAATTATTTTTCAAGTGTAGTGTTGCGTGGAATATTTGTTCGTACAGTGCTCTGTAACCTATTTTAATTATACTTTATTTTAAAATTTTAACATTTTTCTTAGAGGATTGTTTACTGGTTTAAATAATGCACGCTTTATTTGTTTCAAAATATCTATTTTCTGCAAATATACTAACTCACTTTTGCTTATTAAATATATTGAAGAAAAAGTAATTGCTTCTTTTTTTTATTCATAAACTTTTAAAAATAACTAATAAGGGTTAAATTAAAGGATTACTTTTAAATGTCTAGTTAATGAGCTTACTTTAAGCTGCAAGAGAACAATCCGCGAATGAACATCAACTTCGAATCAACCCTGCCAAAAAGGCCTTGGAAAATATGAACACACAGTTAAATCTCTCTGCTATTGGGCTGGTAAGTAGGTCACCAACCAGTTATATGGCTCATGCAGGTTTTATTGAGCCGTAGAACTGGTTGGTGACCTACTTACCAGCCCTACAGGGCCTCATCAATATGTCACGCGACACAATGGCTCCAGTTTGACTCATGACAAAAAGGTGTCTTCATTAAATCCACGAAAGCCAACAATTCCGGCGCCCGGGGCAAGCAAACTATCAATTTTGCGCTCCCCTCCCGCCTATTTATATATGTAGTTATTAAAGTTGCGCCCCCCCCCCCCCCCCCCCCGAGCTGGTTAAGTTGGTGGTGGTGCTTTTTATTTGCCACTATCGGGTAAAAGATTTTTTTTATTGTGGTACAACTCATTAAAAAAACAGAAATCATTGTGCAAAGCCAGGTCGCCGTTTACTTTTTTAAACTTTGATTGTGTATAATTCACTATCCTAGTTTAAAATGAGCTTTTTATACCCCTTTTGGCGCCCCCTTAGGGTCGGCGTCCTAGGCGGCCGCCCCACCCGCCCTTCCCTAGCTATGCCACAGCAACAGACCCAGGTCTAGCGTGTTTCAATGTGTAGCAAAGTAATGTACTAGGCTGATGTCGTTCACAAGGCGTGGACAGTAATAACAAGCCCGTATTGAATCGTAAGCTCCAAAGTTAAATTAATCGACACAGGAAAATTAAAGCTAGATTTACTTCCCATTAAGTAAAGTTCCCTTTTTTACCTGACGGTCAATGGGGCAAGTGGAGTTTCTGTGACCTCGACGTATGGAGGGATCATGTCGTCAGCGCTAGGCTCAGCCACCTTTAATTTCCTTAATCTAAGTGAGGTACACCTTCAGAGCTGGGTGGACCCATGAACGTTCTACTGACTTCAACCTGAATTCGAACTTTTGGGTTAGCAGTCTAACGCTCTACCACTAGGCCACACTCTTCCCGTAACTCTTGTCGTATTTCAGTTTTCGGGGACAGGGAGCAGCTCATCATTAATTTTTTTTTGGTGGGGGGGGGGGGGGGGTAAGATCGTCAAATTCCCCCTTGTCGTTAGACTTCGATTTTGTTTTGTTATTTTTCTCTAAAATACATGGAGACGTTTATCAATGAGCCATACAGTCAGGCACTGAAGTGAGCTGACCATGAATAATGAATAATGTCGATATTTCTCTATCCTCACTTTCGCGATCCAGCCTCATTTCGCTAATATATAAACGTATTTTAAACAGCCTATTCGGCTATACAAACGTGCGCAATGATTCACAAAATTAGATACTAGGTTTGACGCGCTATCACACGTGAGATTTTGTAGTTCAAGAAAACTCGCAAAACGAAAACTGCGCAACCAGAAAAATGCTCAAATATAAGTTAATTATGCCAATAAAGCCGTAATTTGGTGGAAAAGTGTTTTATGCTACAATGTACACGTGGTCACTCTTTGTTTATGTCTGAAAATGCTCAATTTAAGAAAAAAAATGTCCTTTCGCACTGTTTAGTTCGCAGTTTTCTGTTGCCCATCTTTCCGGTCACAAATTTCGCAACTGTTGGAATGTTGGAGTATCATTTTTCTTGAAACCCCCCTTCCCCTTCCAGGTGTGTGACATTCAGTGTTGCCTCACAAAAAACTCAGAGACCTTGAAGATCTCGATACCCAGGATCACGTTCAGGCCAGAAGAGAATATTAAGACAACTGTAGGGAAAACAAGTGGTGAATTGGTGAGATAAATGGAAAACAAGAGGTGAATTGGTGAGACAAATGAAAAACATGTGGTGAATTGGTGAGATAATGGAAAACATGTGGTGAATTGGTGAGATAATGGAAAACATGTGGTGAATTGGTGAGATAATGGAAAACATGTGGTGAATTGGTGAGATAATGGAAAACATGTGGTGAATTGGTGAGACAAATGAACAACGAGTGGTAAATTGGTGAGATAATGGAAAACAAGAGGTGAATTGGTGAGACAAATGGAAAACATGTGGTGAATTGGTGAGACAAATGGAAAACATGTGGTGAATTGATGAGATAATGGAAAACAAGTGGTGAATTGGTGAGACAAATGGAAAACAAGTGGTGAATTGTTGAGATAATGGAAAACATGTGGTGAATTGGTGAGACAAATGGAAAACAAGTGGTGAATTGGTGAGATAAATGAAAAACAAGAGGTGAATTGGTGAGACAAATGAAAAACAAGTGGTGAATTGGTGAGATAAATGAAAAACAAGAGGTGAATTGGTGAGACAAATGAAAAACAAGTGGTGAATTGGTGAGACAAATGAACAACGAGTGGTGAATTGGTGAGACAAATGAACAACGAGTGGTAAATTGATAAATTAAATAAAAAAAAACAAGAGGTAGATTAGTTAGACCAATGGAAAACGCGAGGTGAATTGATAAGATATATGAAAAGCCAGAGGTGAATTAGTGAGGTGAAAAAGAAAACAGATGATGAAATGGTGAGACATGTATCGAACATTTTTTTTTCGTGCGGGTTAATTAGACTTCTGGGTCATACATACACGACGGTCACTCATTTATCGATCTTGGGGTCCTGGGTGTAACAGTCACTCAGTAGGGATGCTTTTACCCACTGAGGTGTTGTGGTTAAAAGGGCCGACCCTGAGATTTAGGACAAATCGAAGCGACGCTGTTGTCCACTAATTGACTTTATTTAACAGTACGTCGAGCCATAAATGGCGATGTAGAACATGCCGAGCGAAATGGGAGTACTTCTAAGTGAGCGATTTGTTTGAAACTTGGCACGTGGGTCAAGACCCGAGGGAAAAAAAATGTAATCTGACATCAAATTTGACTTATGTGGATTGTCAACGGTAAAAAGTAAATTGTACCGTGTTACTGGTAATAATGATTAAGTTCAGCGAGTGATTCAACCGGTAGGAGGGTCTGTGCCAATC